TGTGACTTGCCCAGGGTCACCCAGTGGGTTTTATGGCCAAGCTGGGAATTGAACCCTGCAGGACCTTATCACACGGAGGAAATCCCATGCAGAAACGGGATTTAAAAGATAGGGAAAACCCACAAAAGTGGGTAGATTTTCACACATTTTGCTTTTAAACTGTGCTTAAACCGAACGGAAAGTAATCAAAAGGCGCTTCTATTTACTTTCAGGATTTTCCGAAAGTAAAAAGAAGCGGCTTTTAACTACTTTCTGTTCGGGTTAAGCAGAGTTTAAAAGGGACGTTGTCTGAAAATCTACCTGCGTTTGCGGGTTTTTTCCTATTTAAAACCCCATTTCTGCATGGGATTTCCCCCATGTGATAAAGTGCATAGTCCAGCTCTCAAACTATTATGCCATGTTGGCTCTCTGGTGAACCTATTACAGGATTTTCTTGGAAAGGTTTGTTCAGAGGGTTTCCCCCCTCTGAGGCTGAGAAAGTGTGACTTGCCCAACATCACCCAGTAGGTTTCCATGCCTGAGTGAGGATTTGTTCCCTGGCCACTAGAGTCCTAGTCCAGCGCTTAAACCACTGTGCCACACTGGCTCTTGGTGAGTAGGCAGTTCCAACAGACTTGATATGGCCTGATATGGGAAGCTAAGTAGCACCAGTCCTGGTTAGCAGTGGATGGGAGACCATGCTGGGCCAGGACATGACTGCGTTGGGAACGCTGGGCTAGACTCAGTAGACTATATCTTGCCTTTCCATTCAGGGAAGGTCAGCATGGCTAACAAAAGGAAGGGATAAACAAGGGTTCAATCCCCCACTCTGCCATGGCAGCCCACTGAGTGATCTTGGGCAAGTCACACTCTCTCAGCCTCAGGGGAAGACAATGGCAAATCTCCTCTGAACAAAGCTTGCCAAGAAAACCCCATGATAGAGTTGCTTTAAGTCGGAAATGACTTGAAGGTGCAAAACACAACAAGGATTTTTAGTTTGTTTTTAACTTGTATATATTTTTATGTGACTTTATGTTGGACATAGAAATTTTAATTGTTTTGAATTTTATTGCAATTTTAAAGGTTTTATCTGTGAGCTGCCTTGGGTCCCTCTGGGGAGAAAGGCGGGATATAAATTAAATAATAAACAAACAAACAAATAAATATTAAAACAAACACTCAGAGTCATAGGTTACATGTGCATTTGGCACAAAATGGGAAGGCTTAGCCAGCCCAATAAAGAACATGAATAGAACAGGTTGGAGAATTGGACTGAAAGTAACAGAAGAAAAATCAACAGATAAATGCAAAGCTTTCCATTTGAGCTAACAAGTAAGCAATCCACTTGAAGCATGGGAATGGCTTGGGAAGCTCTGCTTCTATCTGACCTGGCAGTAGTACATGTGAAAAGGATCTTGGGATTTGTAGCCGCTCACAAGCAGAACATGAGTCAGCAGCGTGATGCAACTGCAAAAAAGGCTAATGTGATTTCAAGCCATATTTATAGTACCAGACTTTCCAAGTCAGAGGAAGTCAGAACTCTTTAGCAGTATTGTCTCCAGTTTCTGTACTATAAGGAGGAGGTTAAATGGATTGGAACAGGTTTAGACAGAGAGGTCAACAAAGGTGCAGATGAAACATGGCATGGAAGACAAGTCCTACGAGGAAAAGTAGAATTAACTGGGTATCTTTAGCCGGGGGAAAGCAGAAAGCAAGATTTAGTGGACTGAATTTAAAAGAGGGTATGAGGTGTAATGTTTCCAGAAATTTTGAAAATATGGGGGAAAAACTATACTGGCCATTGTCACCCTGAGGACCTTATTATTATTATTATTATATCCCACCCTTTACAGCTTGAAAGTAACTTTGTTACTTTAGAAACATAAAATGCATTATATATAACTTAGTTTGACATAAAAGTATCATATTTGATATATTAAAAGTGCAGTTTATCCAGAATATAAATTACAAACTGAACTTACTTTAAAAAAAAAAAAAAGAAAATCAGTTTTTCTTACAAATGGAGCTACAAGGTTCTGAACTATAAGGAACCCTTTTGGTTTTACCAGTTTAAGGAGCAAGCAAAAAAGAAAGAATAAAGACAGAAGAAACCATCAACATTAGTAAAAAAGAAAATTATTTTGTTTTTTCGTTGTCCATAATGCCAAGCAGAGATAATGCACTCATTCCAATAATAATAATAATAATAATAATAATAATTTATTTCTTACCCACCTTTCCCCAAGGGGCAAGGTGGGATACAACATAAATTAAATTGCACTAAACCATTTTAACACATAAACTTAGGAGAAATTAAAATCATCCAACATAAAATTTAAAATATATAAATTTAAAATTCATAGTTTAAAACTGACTGGGTAGGCCTGCCAGGAGAAATAGGTCTTTAATACTGTTTTAAATTCAGACAGCATGTGTAGCTGTCAAATCTCTCTGGGCAGGTCATTCCTCAGTCTAGGGGCGGCCGATTAAAAGGTTGCCTTGAGTCCCTATGCCAAGAAGAAGGTGGGATATAAATAAATAGAATTATAATAATAATAAGGTCCTCAGGGTGACAATTGCTGGTATAGTCCTGGCTGGTTGAAGCAAATAACTGACAGAGGAGCTGAGTCTATGGGGTGGATTATATGGGAAGAGGCAATCCCATAGGTAACCAGGACCCAAACCCTATAGAGCTTTAAAGGTAATAACCAACACTTTGTACTTTGCCCAGAAACTAACTGGCAGCATGTGGAGTGAGTTTCATATTGGTTTGATATGATCACTCCTAGATATGTGTGTGTGTCGTGTGCCTTCAAGTCATTTCCGACCTATGGCAACCTTAAGGTGAACCTATCACAGGGTTTTCTTTGTAAGATTTCTTTAGAGGAGTTTTTTCCTTTGCCATCCTCTGAGGCCGAGAGAGTGTGATGTGCCCAAAGTTATTGCACCCAGTGGGTTTTCATGGCTGAACAGTGATTCGAACCCTGGTCTCCAGAGTCCAACACTCAGACCACTACACCTTGCTCATTCCTAGGTGTACTAGTAATCAATCTGGCTGCCATGTTTTGAACTAATTTAGTGATTCCTGAACTTTGATTCTCCCGGTGTTTGGGACTTTGTCTCCCAGAAGCCCCAGTCACCTTGGCCAATAGCCAAGAATTCTGGGATCCAAAGTCCAAAGGATCTGGAAGACCAAAGTCTGGGAACCACTGAACTCACTGCAGTTTCCAAACTTGGTACATAGGTAGCCCAATGTAAAATGCATTGCAGAAGTCCAGCCATGAGGTTACCAGCGCACAATTTCCCATCTTTAGGTCTTCCAATTCTAGGCCTGATTCCCACTTACAAATGAATCAGTTTGCAATCCAGATCGATGGATCAGTTTTCAGCAGAGCATGGTTCACACTACATTTGCCCCAATTGCATTTTCTTGCTGTAAAATAACCCACTTGTGCCTCACACATTGACAAATGGATTCAAAATGGACCCGCTCCAGACTGTCGAAGGGCAAATTTAAATCGATTCTAATCCGCATCTGGTTCACACTTGCACGGATTCAATTTATCAAAAAAGACATGGAAAAAATCAGCATCAAAAAGATGCATGTTAAATGCATCTAGTGCATGGTCCTCCAAACCGCTTTAGCAATTCAGTTCAAGTACGAACCAGGGTCATTTAAACCGCTTCAAACCTAGGGGGAATATAGACTGGCCAAAAGGGCTGGCCTGGGGATGGAGTCGGGGCATGGTGACCACACGCCGGCCGCCTCAACTCCACCCCGATGCCGCCATCACGCCGTGTGCCCCACCGCATGGCGAGCGGTGTCAGGGTGCTCCCTCAACACAGCGTTCAGACACACTGCACCAATGGAGCATGGAAAAACTGCCGCCATGGTGGCAAGGGCGGTTTTTTGCCGCTCCAAAAAGGAGCAGCATTTGCCAATTCTTTTGGGAGTGACAAAGTGCCGGATCGGGGCTGCGGTATGCAGTTGCCAGAACCCTGATCCGGCAAGGGGCTGTCTGTATAGCCCCCTAGAAATGGACACAGCTGATGCAACATCCGAAGCTGATAATA